TGCCTTTTGTTGTGTAAAGCACATAAACTGTACATTGTCCATAAAAGATAGGTGGCTTTGAAGCCGCTGTTGGTCGCCATGAGCTCAGCTCACTCAGTTAAGCTGTGCCTAGTAAATTTAGGTCTACATATGAGAGAACAGGTCTGTGTGGTAAGTGTGCACTATATAAAAAAATTCTGCCGCATGCAATCCATAATGAGGAAAAATTGCGACCATGTATTTGGTGTAAAACAGCAACTTTGTGGTGTATTTTCGTATGGTTTGTATGGTTATATTCTCATTTTTTTTTTGTCTCTTTTTTCATAGAATGGAAAATGTATTACAGAAATAGATATGATTTTGATTGATTTCATGACAGAAAGTACCTTGAAATTGTGCTCAAAGTAGCAGAAATCTCCAATTTTTGTTGATGTTCAAGAGTAAACAAATGATGTCTCCATCCAATACGTGTCTAAAATAATGAAAAAGGCACAATACCGTGACTGGAGCAATACACAAATAACCCACACATAGAAGAGAGGAGCTTACGACGACGTTTTGGTCCAACTTGGACCATTTACAAAGTCATGTTTCAGTCCGACTTGAACCGAAATGTAGTCGTAAGCTCCTCTCTTCTATGTGCGGGTTATTTGTGAATAAGTGTCTAACTGGCCAGTCTAATGCACAGCCACGAATGGGTTTACATTATTTATACAATTATTACAATAATGCAATAGTCTGCATAACGGGAAACCTATTTTTTGAGTGAATAAAAATTCAAAATGGAAAGCAAGTGTAATATAAAAGGAGCCTGGAGATGTGACTAATGAACAGAGAAAATGTTATTTAAGTGCCAGGAAGGTCTGCAATGTTTATTCTGGACAGTATTTTGAAAATGGCATATGAAATTTGTGAGAGATTGGCCAAATTACCGATTTCTGACTATTTTATTGTGTAGTTGAAATTGGTAAATGGGCAGTTTCTTGTACTCAATCAACAGAATAGAAGGAATACTAGCGAAATAGCTGTGAGTTTGGTCGACTGGGACAATGGAATGGGCCAAAAATAGGGCATAAAGCAGGTGAAATCGCCAGTGTGTAAATATTGAGTTAAGAGTATTCTAACCTAGCCACTTACTAATCTGGCAAAATCACTAATCCAGCATCCTACAGGACCCACTGATGCCAGATTAGTGATGCTCAACTTGTGTACATTACCTGATAATTGTAGGTATTATATTATGTATAGATGTTAACCCTTTCAGGGTCGGAACCCCTGATCTAAATTTTGCTCTCAGGGTCGGAGAATTTTTGAAAAAAAAAAAAAAAAAAATTCTTATGAAATGATTGAGAATCTTCTTTCAAAAGTAATGAGACAAAAAGTACAAAATTTAATTGAAGACTTGTGGAATTACTCTCTCACAAAGTTAGTCGCAGCAATATTTATGCATTGGCAATTTTGCTCAATTTGAGCCCTATTTTTGGCCAATTTCTTTGTTCCAGTCAACCAGATTCATGGCTATTTCACTATTATTCCTTCTGTTCTAATGGTTGAGTACAAGAAACTGCCCATTTACCCATTTCAACTACCTAATAAAGTGATCAGAAATCTGTAATTTAGCCAATTTGACACAGAATTCAAAAATTGTCAATTTAAAAAATAGGGTCCAGGATTAACAATGTAGACATTTCTGTATTACAATTACATGTACTTTACATTTTGAATTTTTATTCACACACAAAATAGAGATTTACTGTTCTGCAGACTACTGCATTATTGTAATACAGCCTCTCTTCACTTAGTGACATAGTCGTTTACCGACAACTCAGACTTACGATGGACTCTCTGACCAGTATGCGTACCTAAATAATGTCTATTAGAATGAACATTAAAATGGTATAAAATACCGACAGATTGTTAGGTAAGACACATATGCAACAGTTAGGTATCTTTATTTTGAAACGTTTCGCCTACACAGTAGGCTTCTTCAGTCGAGTACAGAAAAGTTGATAGAAGCAGAAGATACTTGAAGACGATGTAATCAGTCCATCACCCTTAAAGTTTTGAGGTGGTCAGTCCCTCAGTCTGGAGAAGAGCATTGTTCCGTTGTCTGAAACAATATGAAGTTGAAGTGACAGGATGGAGCCTTTATATAGTGCCAGGAGGTGAGACGTAGGTTGCTTTGGGAGGGCAGGTCCCTCTCAAACCCAGCAGTTCTCACTAGTAGAGGTCGAAGTTGATGGTCTGTACCAAGATACCCTTGTGTTGCAGTGTCTGACAGAATGAACATTAAAATGGTATAAAATACCGACAGATTGTTAGGTAAGACACATATGCAACAGTTAGGTATCTTTATTTTGAAACTTTAAGGGTGATGGACTGATTACATCGTCTTCAAGTATCTTCTGCTTCTATCAACTTTTCTGTACTCGACTGAAGAAGCCTACTGTGTAGGCGAAACGTTTCAAAATAAAGATACCTAACTGTTGCATATGTGTCTTACCTAACAATCTGTCGGTATTTTATACCATTTTAATGTTCATTCTGTCAGACACTGCAACACAAGGGTATCTTGGTACAGACCATCAACTTCGACCTCTACTAGTGAGAACGGCTGGGTTTGAGAGGGACCTGCCCTCCCAAAGCAACCTACGTCTCACCTCCTGGCACTATATAAAGGCTCCATCCTGTCACTTCAACTTCATATTGTTTCAGACAACGGAACAATGCTCTTCTCCAGACTGAGGGACTGACCACCTCAAAACTTTAAGGGTGATGGACTGATTACATCGTCTTCAAGTATCTTCTGCTTCTATCAACTTTTCTGTACTCGACTGAAGAAGCCTACTGTGTAGGCGAAACGTTTCAAAATAAAGATACCTAACTGTTGCATATGGGTCTTACCTAACAATCTGTCGGTATTTTATACCATTTTAATGTTCATTCTGTCAGACACTGCAACACAAGGGTATCTTGGTACAGACCATCAACTTCGACCTCTACTAGTGAGAACGGCTGGGTTTGAGAGGGACCTGCCCTCCCAAAGCAACCTACGTCTCACCTCCTGGCACTATATAAAGGCTCCATCCTGTCACTTCAACTTCATATTGTTTCAGACAACGGAACAATGCTCTTCTCCAGACTGAGGGACTGACCACCTCAAAACTTTAAGGGTGATGGACTGATTACATCGTCTTCAAGTATCTTCTGCTTCTATCAACTTTTCTGTACTCGACTGAAGAAGCCTACTGTGTAGGCGAAACGTTTCAAAATAAAGATACCTAACTGTTGCATATGTGTCTTACCTAACAATGTCTATTAGAATTGATTTTATAATGGAGCCTACCTTTTCATATTTGTATGTGGCATGGGCGTGAGATGCTGGGGAGGTTGGAGGTAGTGGAAATGTCTTGTTTGAGAAAAATTTATAGTGTGACTATGATGCAAAGATGGATTATGGTTACACAAGATATTAAAAAGGCATAAGAGGGGTTGTTGAGGAAGTTTGGCAATTTAAAGAGAGTGGAGCATAATAGGATGGCCCAAAAAGTGTATAAATACTTACAAGTGAGAGGACAGATGATTAAAAATTGTTCCAGGAAGGGTTGGGGAGAATGTAAAGGTTTTTAAGTTATAGGGGCTTGAGCATCCAGCTGGTGTATGTGAGCATGTTAGATGAGTAGACAAGTGATTGTAGGGCTTTAACTTGTTGGAGGTTAAGCAGTGTAACATTTATGAAGGTATTCATGGAAAATTGGTTAGCCAGATTTGAGTCTTGGAGGTGGGAAGTACAGTGTCTGCAGTTTGAAGGATAAAGGTGGGGATAATACAAGTTGAAAGGTCATTTGAATTTTGCTGTTTTATTCACTTCTGGCAAGACAGCAATTGAATAAATGATGCTTTTTTTTGTGTGGGGGGGGGGGGGGTTGTAAAAAAAATTGTAATATTGATTTGCATAATCCCTCACTTGATTTACAATAATATTTAACTTGTCCCTATCCTTTAACTTCATTAATGAGCACCCAGTCATCATTCCTGTGATGCAATTCTAGTGAAAGGAAGGAAGAAATATCAACGATAATGCATGAATGAGTTTCCTTCTTTGGGTCACCCTGTTTTGGTGGGAAGCAGTTGATGTTAAAGTCAGTGTTTATGCTAGTAAGGCAAACCTTATTCTTCTTCTTTCTTTCAACAAACCAGCCGTATTCCACCGAGGCAGGGTGGCCCAAAAAGAAAAACAAAAATTTCTCTTTTTAAATTTAGTAATTTATACAGAAGAGGTTACTAGCCCCTTGCTCCCAGCATTTTAGTCGACACTTATGACACGCATGGCTTATGGAGGAAGACTTCTATTGAACTTCCTCATGGAAATAAGAGGAAATAAACAACAATAAGAACTAGCAAGAAAATAGAAGAAAACCCAGAGGGGTGTGTATATATACATATGCTTGTACATGCATGTATAGTGTGACCTAAGTGTAAGTAGAAGTAGCAAGACGTACCTGAAATCTTGCAAGTTTATGAGACAGAAAAAAGACACCAGCAATCCTACTGTCATGGAAAACAATTACAGGCTTTTGTTTTACAGTCACTTGGCAGGACAGTAGTACCTCCCTAGGCAGTTGCTGTCTACCAACCTACTCTTTACTTGAGTACCAGATGTGTTAGGAAAACACCCTTCATATGTTTGTTTTGCTAAGGTAATCAGCAAAGAGAAGCAAGTGGTAAAACAATTGAAATATGCAGACACTTTAGTAATCTCATATTGTTAGATTGCAACAGAGAACCAGAAAAATAAAAAAAAATGTGGAAAGTGGTAGATTTGTGTGCAAGATCATGGAATAAAGGTAATTTCTTGAAATACTGGTTGGTGGTAGCATTGTTGGTTACTGAAATTATACCAGCCATATCATTCACCACTAAGAATATATAATCAAGGAAAACTTAGTGAGTGAGAAGGTATTAAATGTGCTCTGATTTAGTTTTTCTTAGTGTTTTTCTGATTTTTTTTTTTTTTTCAGAATTCTGGGTGAACTGATGTCAGATTACCAGAAAGGAAGCAATGCCCCATTTATGGAAGCTATTGAGTTAGACCCAGAAAGAAACAGAGATTACTTGGAGGTTGTGAAGAAACCATTATGGCTTAAGAAAAGTGAGTGAAGTGATGAGAATTCCCTATAATTAGAAAACTTTGATATATGGCACAATATGTTTATTACTTTTTTTTTTTTTTTTTTTTTTTTTTTTTATCTTACCTGTACCTGTGTTTTACCTGTGATTAGTTTCATTATGCTTCTACTATTCAGAAATAAGTAATTTAATATTATTCATTCATTTTTCAGAATTTTAATAATTAAACAGAGAAATTTCAGTTATTTTTTTTAGTACTAACGAGTTTAGAATACAGTGGACCCCCGGTTAACGATATTTTTTCACTCCATAAGTATGTTCAGGTGCCAATACTGACCGAATTTATTCCCATAAGGAATACTGTGAAGTAGATTAGTCCATTTCAGACCCCCAAACATACACGTACAAACGCACTTACATAAATACACTAACATAATTGGTCGCATTCGGAGGTAATCGTTATGCGGGGGTCCACTGTATATTAAAATTTTTATGTTTGTAGTTTAATGTCTTAACTGTTCTATTTACATATAAAATAGCAATTTTCAGTAATCTTCCATTTTTTTTTTTTTTTTACAGTTAAGGATGATCTGTTAGCTGGAAAGTATCATAACATTACAGAGCTAATTGGTGACCTGCGAACTATGCTAGAAAATGCTTATCGATACTATGGACCTGTCAACTCTGTTTCTAAAAAGGGCCTTAAGCTAGAACACATGATGGAACAGAAAATTTTACTCCTTCCAAAGTATGTATATTCTGTGTTTTCAAAATGTACATCAGAAAAGACTTTTGTTCCTAGTTATATACAGTATTTATCACTGTTTTTATTAATACTGTCTCCTACCAAGGTAGGATAAGAAAAAAACAGACACACACAGACATGCAGATGCATACACACAGAGAGACAGAGACAGCAGAACAGCAATAAAACAAGAGAGAGAGAAGGGTGCATAGAAATTCGTGCAAAAACTGGAGGACCAGGCAGGGATAGCAGGGAAGGCACTACAATGGATCAGGGAATACCTCACAGGAAGACAGCAGCAAGAGTATGATGAGAGTAATAGAGCGATGGTTGACACACTGGCTGAAGTGGCCACAAGGGCTCATGCGAGCAGGGCAAAGCTACTGATCATGGGTGACTTCAGCCACAAGGAAATCGACTGGGAGAACTTGGAGCCACATGGGGGCTAAGATGATGGAGGTGGCACTGGAAAACCTCATGTACCAACACATAAGGGACACTACCAGAGAGAGAGGGGAGAGGATGAACCAGCGAGACTGGACCTAGTATTCACCTTGAGTAGTGCAGATATTGAGGACATCACATATGAAAGACCCCTTGGGGCCAGCGATCATGTGGTTTTAAGATTTGAATACACAGTAGAGTTACATGTGGAGGGGAAAGCAGGAAGAGCCGGATGAATGAAGCCAAACTACAAGAAAGGGGACTACACGGGAATGAAGAACTTCCTAAACGGGGTTTAGTGGGACAGATAACTGGCAGGGAAGTCAGTAAACGAAATGATGGAATATGTGACAATAATATGCAAGGAAGCTGAGGAGAGGTTTGTACCCAAGGGTAACAGGAATAATGAAAAAGCCAGGATGAGCCTGTCATTCACCCAAAGGTGCAAGGAGGCCAAAACCAAGTGTGCTAGGGAATGGAAGAAGTATAGAAGGCAAAGGACCCAGGAGAATAAGGAGAGCAGTCATAGAGCCAGAAATGAATATGCACAGGGAAGAAGGGAGGCCCAATGACAGTATGAAAATGACATAGCAGTGAAAGCCATGTCTGACCCGAAGCTGTTGTACAGCCACATCAGGAGGAAAACAACAGTCAAGGACCAGGTAATCAGGCTAAGGAAGGAAGGAGGAGAGATCACAAGAAACGACCGCAAAGTACGTGAGGAAGTCGATGTGAGATTCAAAGAAGTGTTCACAGAGGAGACAGAAGGGACTCCGGAAAGACGGAAAGGTGGGGTACATCACCAAGTGCTGGACACAATACATACAACCGAGGAAGAAGTGAAGAGGCTGCTGAGTGAGCTAGATACCTCAAAGGCACTGGGGCTGAATAACATCTCTCCATGGGTCCTGGGAGAGGGAGCAAAGGTGCTATGTGTACCCTAACAACAATATTCAACACATCTATTGAAACAGGGAGTTACCTGAGGTATGGCAGACAGCAAATATAGTCTCAATTTTTTTAAAAAGAAAAGGAGACAGACATGAAGCACTAAACTATAGACCAGTGTCACTGACATGTATAGTATGCAAAGTCATGGAGAAGATTATCAGGAGAAGAGTGGTGGAACACCTAGAAAGGAATGAGCTTATCACCAACAGCCAACACGGTTTCAGGGACGGGAAATCCTGTGTCGCAAACCTACTGGAGTTCTATGACAGAGTGACAGCAATAAAACAAGAGAGAGAGAAGGGTGCATAGAAATTAGTGCAAAAACTGGAGGACCAGGCAGGGATAGCAGGGAAGGCACTACAATGGATCAGGGAATACCTCACAGGAAGACAGCAGCGAGTCATGGTACGTGGCAAGGTGTCAGAGTGAGCGCCTGTGACGAGTGGGGTTCCACAGGGGTCAGTCCTAGGACCAGTGCTGTTTCTGGTACTTGTGAATGACATGATGGAAGGAATAGACTCTGAAGTGTCCCTATTTGCAGATGATGTGAAATTGGTGAGAAGAATTCAATTGGATGAGGACCAGACAACTACAAAGGGATCTGGACAGGCTGCAGGCTTGGTCCAGAAATTGACTCCTAGAGTTCATCCCCACCAAGTACAAAGTCATGAAGGTTGGGGAAGGGCAAAGAAGACTGCAGATGGAGTCCAGTCTAGATGGGCAGAGACTACAAACCTCACTCAAGGAAAAAGATCTTGGGGTGAACATAACACCAGGCACATCTCCTGAGGCGCACATCAGCCAAATAACTGCTGCAGCATATGGGCGCCTAGCAAACCTAAGAACATCATTCCCCCATCTTAATAAGGAATCGTTTAGGTCCCTGTACACTGTGTACGTTAGGCCCATATTGGAGTATGTGGCACCAGTTTGGAACCCACACCTAGCCAAGCACGTAAAGAAACTAGAGAAAGTGCAAAGGTTTGCAACAAGACTAGTCCCAGAGTTAAGAGGTATGTCCTATGAGGAAAGGTTAAGGGAAATCAACCTGACGACACTGGAGGACAGGAGAGATAGGGGGGACATGATAACGACTTACAAAATACTGAGAGGAATTGACAAGGTGGACAAAGACAGGATGTTCCAGAGACTGGACACAGCAACACAGGGACACAGTTGGAAACTGAAGACACAGATGAATCAAAGGGATGTTAGGAAGTATTTCTTCAGCCACAGAGTAGTCAGGAAGTGGAATAGTTTGGGAAGCGATGTAGTGGAGGCAGGATCCATACATAGCTTTAAGCAGAGGTACGATAAAGCTCATGGTTCAGGGAGAGTGACCTAGTAGCAACCAGTGAAGAGGCAGGGCCAGGAGCTTGGACTCGACCCCTGCAACCTCAACTAGGTGAGTACAACTAGGTGAGTACGCACGCACACACACAAACATACACACACATATGTATATATATATATATACATACATACATACATACATACATACATACATTTTTTTTTTTTTTTTTTCAACAAGTCGGCCGTCTCCCACCGAGGCAGGGTGACCCAAAAAAAAGAAAGAAAATCCCCAAAAAGAAAATACTTTCATCATCATTCAACACTTTCACCACACTCACACATTATCACTGCTTTTGCAGAGGTGCTCAGAATACAACAGTTTAGAAGCATATACGTATAGAGATACACAACATATCCCTCCAAACAGCAACCACGCAGGGAGGTACTACCGTCCTGCCAAGTGAGTGTAAAACGAAAGCCTGTAATTGTTTTACATGATGGTAGGATTGCTGGTGTCTTTTGTCTGTCTCATAAATATGCAAGATTACAGGTACGTCTTGCTACTTCTACTTACAATTAGGTCACACTACACATACATGTACACGTTTATTTATACACACTCATCTGAGTTTTCTTTGATTTTATCTTAATAGTTCTTGGTCTTATTACTTTTCCTTTTATATCCATGGGGAAGTGGAATAAGAATCTTTCCTCCGTAAGCCATGCGTGTTGTAAAAGTCAACTAAAATGCCGGGAACAATGGGCTAGTAACCCCTTTTCCTGTAAAGATTACTAAAAAGAATAAGAATACATACATACATTCACTTAATTGCTGTCTTGCTAGAAACTTGCTGATCTCACAGTTCCAAACTCTGAACTGCAGTATTTTTACTCTTTCTTTAAAGTGCAGGCACTGTACTTCCTAGCTCCAGGACTTGTCTAGCTAACCAGTTTTCCTGAATCCCTTCATAAAAGTTGCCTTGATAGTGCTCCAACAGCATTGCAAGTCATAAATGCAATCTTCCTCTCTGTTTTACCCTTAATTCTTTCAGTAATAACTGCCATTACAGGTTTATATTATCATATACATGTATTCCCTAGTTGATCTGTCCAGTATTGTTAGATTTAATTCCATTAGCCTCTCCTTGTAGTTCATATGTCTTATCTCTGGAACAAGCCTAGTTGCATACTACTTCACTTTCTTCAGTCTTTTTACTTTTTTTTTTAGGTGTGAGTTTCTTAGAGGTGCAGCACACCAAAGATGGGCCTGACATTGAAGCACTGAGAAGAAAAACTAGTACAGTGGAACTTTGGTATGCGACCTTAATTCATTCCAGAAGGCTGTTCGAGTGCTGCTCTGTTTGAGTATCGAACAAGTTCTTCCCAACCAGTTTTCTGTTTAGTTGGCTGTTATCACTAATCTTTGTAGGCCCCATGATGACATATTTATACAAATACAAAAAAATGCCAGAAAATGTGAAGAAACACGAAATAGTTTACAGCGAAATTCTGGCAGGTTGTATTTGTTTGGTTGAGTGCTGAGCTTTGTTCGATTAGGGAGCTGGTCGTGTACCGAGGTTCCACTGTACTAAACTCGCTAAATGTCACTTTTGTGAATATCGCCTACAAATCTTACGCCATAGAGAAAACAGAATTTGTCAAATCTTACTTTTGAGAAGATTGCTTACAAATGTTTGCAACAATATCATTTTTATGTAAAAAATGCAGTTTTTGTTTATTGTGTACTTTTCACTCGCTGGCAAGTTCATCTGTTTTCTTCTCAGTGCCTTGTATGTTATAGTATAATGGAATGAATTTATTGAGATAACTGAAGAATTTTCTAAGATTTGCCAGAAAAGCATTGGATCTCTGATTAAACTAAGGGTTTTGTTTTTGCTATTTCCACATCCTCTGGATATGAAATTCTCTTCTACCTCCTCTTATTTTCCAGCTAGGTACTCCATCTCATGCATTGACTTCTAGTTCTCTATACCATTAAGGAATTCTGTCATTTCCTTGAAGATCCCTTTTCTTGAGTTTGACTTATTGTTCTCTCCACCTGCCATTCTTCCTTCTACTTTTAGTTCCCCAAGTTTAGGACTGTATGATCACTTGTTCCCAGGGGGCTCTCATATTCCATTTCACTTGTCAGATGTGCTTGTAGCAGAAACTGGGCCCAAGGGGGCAGTTTGATTTTAGGCCATGTCCTGGTAACTTAAATTAAGACACTGGACCAAGAACTGGAGCTTACTCCATAAAAAACAAAATGGGTACTTACTTTTTTTTTTTTTTCCAACAAGTCGGTGCCGTCTCCC